GTAAAAGCTTCTGTGTGTACAAGCGTTTGTATGTAAAAGCAGCTCCTGTGTGTAAAGGCTTCTGTGTGTAAAAGTGTCTGTGTAGAAGCGTCTGTGTGTAAAAGCTTCTGTATGTAAAAGCTTCTGTGTGTAAAAGCTTCTGTATGTAAAAGCTTCTGTGTGTAAAAGCTTCTGTGGGTAAAAGCTTCTGTGTGTAAAAGCTTCTGTGGGTAAAAACTTTGTGTGTAAAAGCGTCTGTGTAAAAGCGTCTGTGTGTAAAAGTGTTTGCGATGCAAACTATTGTCTTGCACTTCTCACTATTTTGTCTTGATACTCCTCTTCTCGACTGCCTATAACACAGCTTTCATATATCGTTTCTAATATTGCGTCTCCATACTAACAAGAGAAGACCCTGCTCCTCTACGCTCTCGGGCCATCCGTCGTCTAGTTTTTTTTTACACAGATACTTTTACAAAGAACTGTTTTTTGCACAGGTTTCTTTTACAGAGAGATGCTTTTACACACGGGTGCTTTTAGACTCGGACGCTTTTAGGCAGAGAGACCCTTACATGGGTGAGGGCTGGGAACACAGTTTAGGGGAGAGTTCAAACCATTCTGGAGTCACGTTTCCATCCATTCCCGCTTTTACGTTTGCACACAAAAAATGCTTGCAGAGGGATGCTCTACACACAAGCGCTTTAAGACACAAATACTTTTTCACAGAGATGATGTTGCAAAGAGGAACTTTTAGATGCAGCCACGTTTGCACACAGGTGCTTTGACACAGAGATGCTTTCTGACACACTGACACAGGGTATTTTTAATACGCAATAATTTTACACAGCGCTTTTACATGCCAGTTCTTTGACGCAGAGATTCTTTTACCCGCAAATACTTTTACACAGAGATACTTTAGCAGTACGCGAGGATGTTTTTCTTACAGAGGCATTTTTCACGCACACACGCGCGCGCGCTTTAACAGATGTTTTTAACGCACGCCCTTTTACACAGAGATAGTTGTACACAGCATTCTTTTACACAGAGATGCTTTCACACAGAGATGGCACACACAGAGGCACTTTCACACTTGCTCAGAACAGTCTTATCGAATTTTGATGTGGAATGCGTCTTACGTGCAAAAACACTCCAATTAAGCCTGACAGGAAAGGGTCAGTGACACGACCCGAGAAATTGCGACATGTTCCCTGTGAACAGATTGCGAAAACCGTACAGGCACTGGAATGACATGGAATGGAAACCTGAAAATGTGGTTTGATTTGACACAGTTTGAAAAACAAAGCGGCAAGGTGGTTCTTGGGTTAGCCTAGCCACATCCCATTTCGGAAAAATTGACATGAAAATTGAAGCAGGTACGTCACGGTGATCAGCCGTGATATCCGCATGTACTGTGGCCGCTTCGTTGGACCATCGCACACAGTACATGGATGGTGCCCCTGCAACTAATGATGAAGAAACCATGAATAAGTTAGCAGAATCAGGCCCTAGCATTACGAGTTCAAACCGTGTGAAGATCAAAAGAGAAATTAATGCACATGAGAAGTTTTACATCTGTTCAGATGTTTTCACACTCACACACAAACACACACAAACACACACACACACACGCGCACACTTTTACACAGAGATGATTTGACACTGAGCAGCTTTGCGCGCAGATACCATTACAAACAGAGTTGCTTTTACAAAGGAATGGATTTACACGAGGAGCTTTTATATACAGATGTTTTACACAGGCATACTTTTGCATGATTTCGGACGGCGGGCGCGTTTCGCGCTACAAGAGTGCAGCAAGCAGATGTAAAACCGCAATTTCACCAAGGCTTTTGGTGATCGAGACGCGTTTCGTGGGAAAGAGTTGACCCGGCGCAAGCCTACATTGCAACTTCATTTTAATTTTTGGCGATCGACATTTCGTGCGAGCGGGTTGTGTTTCGTTGACATCAATCCACGCCGCCCTGCCGCCCTAAGACCAAATTTTAGAAAGCTTTGAACTTGTAGGTGTCTTTACAGTAAGAAGTTGATCTCCACCTGCATCTTCACAGTTGCCACTTTTGATATATCAACTCTCAGGTCCCAGGTGTTTTATTTAGGAAGTTGATCTCCGCCTGTGCCTATGTATCTGCCGCGTTAAAGAAGATCATGTCCACCTGCACCTGTACACAGGTTAGAATGTGTCGAACATGAAAAGTGAGGATGTGGAGGATTAGTATTATTGGTGGCGATGATGATGTTGATGATGATGATGATGATGCGGGCATGGTTGATGAAAAAGAAGAAGAAGATGATGATGTTGATGATGATGTTGATGTTGTGACGTGTTGTGATGATGGTGATGCGAGAAGATGGTGATGGTAAAAAAGCAGTAGTTATGACGATGTATTTTGTTGGTGTCTGTCCTGCTGGTTTCTTGGTGGTCTCTCAATTGTGTTTCGGTGGTCGTTGGTGTCTTGGTGGCCCTTTGATGGTGTGTCCGTAGTGTCTTGACAGTGTTCGGTGATGTTTTGGGTGTTTTGCTCATGTCTTGGTGGTGTTTCTGTGGTGTGTTGGCGGTGTTCCGGGGTGGTGTATTCGTGGTATTTAAGGAATGATCTTTTTTTGACTAAGCTGGTTTGCCTGTCAATACTAAATTGGCGTCAAAGGATTGAAACGCGACACTTTGCTATTATGCTGGGTTAATTTTTGTTCAGTTTGATCCAGTTTAAACCGGTTTGACCCAGTTTGATACGTCGAGTCAGCCCTTTGAGCCGTCTTGGGGACATTTTGGCATCAGAGTGGACAGGTTCAGGAAGTCATCCATCAATTGGTTGCCTCGTCGGGAGTGAACGAGCAGGCAAGAACCGAGTTACAACCCGTGCATCTATTAGTAAATAAACCCAAACAACTCAGTGCTTTGATGAATTTGAACGGCTTATATAGGTTCTTCCAATTTTTGCCTTCAATGATTCACCGATTTTCACCCTGCTTGAAAGAATTGAAAACTGAACCCTCACCACTTCCCCACTGCATTCCAGGCCGTTAAGATGCTGTGGCTGTCTGTTGCCAGAAAAGCCTTGTGGGAACTCTCAGTGGGAAGTCTCAGTGTGAATATCTATCAATACTCAAGCATACTTAAAACAAAAAGTATCAAAAAAGTCAAAATACACACAGTGCACACCTCTAGGGGCCTTAAGATGTTTTAAGCTTCAAGGCCATGTGTCTTCTTTTTCTTCTAATGTCAATCTCTTCCCTTTTCCTCCCCCGGTTCATGCGCTGCTTTTCTTTTCGAAGGTGGTTGAACAGCGAGATCAGACTAAAGACTAAGTGGAGAGCAATCGCATGCTTTGATCGGAAACAAGCGGCTTGACACGAACATTTACGCTTCAAACATGTCGTGGCATGTGGGAAAGCTGTGCGACTCACAGGATTGAAGCGTCAAGCAGTGTCAGCCAGTTGTCAGTAGAAGGTCCTCCTTTATGATTATTTCCTATCTCAGCTAGAAAGTTTGAAGCATATGCAGATAGAATGTGATCGGATAGGATAGAATTTGAATGGGATGCAATGTCCAGTGATGTCCAGTGATGTCCAGTGATGTCCAGTGATGTCCAGTGTCAAACATTAGACTTTTCTGGGTTCTCTTGAGTCGAAGACGAATCACACCAGAGGTTAGAACATGCCAAGACCTTATGCTTGTACAGAGACCTTGCCTCGCATGGTTGTCACGTCCAAAACCTTTGTCGAACATCCAGCAAAAAGAGGGTTTGGTTTAGATTTAGATTAGATCATTGCACATCGCGAGAGTTGATGCCCGGTTGACTTCCTGACACTCTCCACTGTGGCACAAGGCCGTCAGACGGCCCGCTCGCAGTGTCAACAGCTTAGTTTCAAGAGTGGCAAAAGCAGCCGGGGCCCAATCTGGAAGAGTCACTCAAGTCGCTGGAACCGCTAACATTTCATGACAGGTACATTGGCTTGGCAAAAAGACATCACAATTTCGAGGCAGCTTAGCACGAAGCATCCTGGTGAACTGGTTGAACATTGACAAGTGACTTCTTGTTTCTGCGGGGCCATTGAATCAAATTCAATCCATGGCGACAGTTTGGCCTCTTCGAGGCAGAAGTTATTGACTTGGGTGCGGATCCTTAAGCTTTCTGTGTTCGCCAAGGTTTTTGAATTTGTTGCTCAGAAAGAACTGTCAAGGAGGAAACGCAAAAGCACATAAAGCCAGAAAACACAGGAAACGTAGAAAACGGAGATTTGTGTCGTTTTATGTTGCCGCTTGTTGGCTCCCCATTCCTTCATTGCACCTGAATTTTTGAGGCCAGTACAGTGCCAAGCATAGCAACTCCTGTATGCAGGGAGACCAAGATCTTGCAGTCTCTTGTAGCTGGTGAGGCTCTGTTTCACCTGTTTTCATTATTTTTCTTTTTCAGCCGTTGACAAAGTTTCCGTTCCCAGGTTTTTGACTTGCGCGGTTGCATTGGCTGACCGGCGGGAAAGAGGTTTGCAAAGCGTCCCCATATTCAATGCCCGCCCAACAAATTCACCGCTACCAGTAGCAAGTACTGGACAGACCAAAGACAAAGCCCAAAGTTTCAACCAAAGCTGGACCATGAACTGCACACTTGAGACTTGAGTTCAAACAGACCAACACAACCGGCACTCACGCAGAAAGTAGGATTTACGGCAGGCCACGATGATGGTCCTTTGGGGACAGTGGCCGAGAAGATCGAAGCTGCTCTTCCTTTTGGCCAGGCTGGTCATGACTGTTCCAAGTCGGTCAAAGCGTGTGAAAAGCTGGCCTTCTTACGCAATCTTTCTAGCAAGACCTGGCAGCTGCAGCTTTCCCTCATGGAGCAATTACAATTGGGACAATAGTGACAGCGATGACATGGTGTGATTACGACTCTATGACTCTAAAAGCCTATCTCTTAAAAAGACTGCTTGTGTCTTTTTGGATTGTGGTACTGTTCGCCCCGGAGTTGTTTTGATTGTGTCTTGTCTTTGGCTCAAAGTGGCGAAAGCAATTCTGGGCTGAGGAAGGTGCGGCTTTGGGACAGTACTTTTCAAAGCCATGCTCGTGAAATTCAGATAGGGCCTGCACATGCCTATGCACATGGGGCAGCTATGAGTTTCTTTTTGTCCGGCACGGCGGCTTCAGGTGAACATGAACGGATATTCGGCAGACCCTTCTGCACCGTCGCTGCATTTTAGGTTAGTCAGCGTCAGCATTTCCAAAACCAGCAGGTGACAAACCAGTTGTGAAGCAGATTGGTGCAAGGTGCACCATTCTCCATTTCATATTTGGTTCATATCTTGAAGGCCTCGAAGAGTTTGCTCATGAACAGGGCGCAAACCTGAATATCTTGCATGTGTTCAAATCCGTTATTCTCAACCCAGAGACCTAGGGACAAGGATACGTCACCCTCCGGGAATCCAGCCTGGCAACGGGAAAATCCGCTACATATTTATCTCCATTTGTAGATGACTTTCCCATTCAACATCGGCTATGCCTTCTTTCAATGCCAGAGGGGACACTTCGGCTGCGTTGTGAGGGAGGCATTATGGGCTTCAGAGCATGCGTGGCGACAGTTGGCTGGATTCCAGCGACAATCCTCAACATTGTTCTTCCAGCAACTTGGCCGAGAAAGAGTCGGATGTAATTATTTGTTACATACATTTTGTACCAGTAGTACCGGACAAGGCAGTTGCGGAAGTTTCAAAGATAGGAAGCCTATAGGAGAGTTTGGTTGTTGTGAATGATGGATGGCAGAGCGAACCTACTGATGGATGGAAAAGTGTTTGGACTGTCGGACTATTTATGTGTGTATCTATCCATCTATTTGTCTATCTATCGATCTATCTATGTATGTAATGTATGTAATGTATGTGATGAATGGTATGGTATGGTATGGTATGGTATGGTATGGCATGGTATGGTATGGTATGGTATGGTAATGTATGGTATGGTATGGTAATGTATGGTATGGTAATGTATGGTATGTAGGTATGGTATGTAGGTATGGTATGTGGGTATGGTATGTAGGTATGGTATGTAGGTATGGTATGTAGGTATGGTTTGTAGGTATGGTATGTAGGTATGGTATGTAGGTATGGATGGTATTTATGGTATGGATGGTATGTATGGTATGGATGGTATGTAATGTAATGTAATGTTATGCAATGTTTTGCAATGTTATGTAATGTAATGTAATGTATGGTAATGTATGGTAATGTATGGTAATGTATGGTAATGTATGGTAATGTATGTATGTATGTATGTATGTTTGTTTGTTTGTTTGTTTGTTTGTTTGTTATATATGTAATGTATGTAATGTATGTAATGCGTGTAATGTATGTAATGTATGTAATGTATGTAATGCATGCAATGTATTCACCCCGCTTCGCGTGGGGTGGCCGCCCACACCGCAGGTTTATTTCGGTCCGTGAGAGGGGCTAAGGGTGGTTTTCCCCCGTGGGGGCTCTTCAAGCTAAGAAGTTTCAATAAGAAATCCTTCCAAAACATTGTTTTTGACAGTGTTTTTCCAATGTTTCCAGTCAAACAGACGGTAATTTACACGTTTTTTTGCCATAAAGGCAGTAAATCCTTCCAAAACATTGCTTTTGACAGTGTTTTTGTAATGTTTCCAGTCAAGCATACGGTAATTTACACGTTTTTTGCTATAACGTCAGTCCAAAACACTTGTTTTGCAGTGTTTTCAATGCTCTGGCATCCAAAAACCCTGCAAATTCTTGCTATGTACAATGTTTTTTTTCATTTTTGGCCGTTTTTCCATTGCCGGAAAGCTACCAAAATGACCCAAAATTCCATTTCAATACCCTCTTGCGCTCAGACACCCAAAAATCCTCGAAAAATGTCGAAAACACCACCGTATTCTGGTCTCGGTGCGAAACCGTTTTTGGGGTCTGGTCTCGGTGCGAAATCGTTTTTGGCCCCCCCCCCCAGCTAAAGCTGATATAGCGACTGCTATATTAACAAATGTCATTGAGCATTTAGTGTTGCTGTTGCCCCCCAATAAGCACGCCTTCACCGCCAAAGCGGTGTGGGCGGATTTAATGTATGTAATGTATGTAATGTATGTAATGAATGTAATGTATGTAATGTACGAAATGTATGTAACGTATGTAATGTATGTAATGTATGTAATGTATGTAATGTATGTAATGAATGTAATGAATGTGATGAATGTGATGAATGTGATGAATGCAATGAATGGAATGAATGTAATGAATGTAATGAATGTAATGAATGCAATGAATGCAATGAATGTAATGAATGTAATGTTTGTCATGCATGTAATGTATGTAATGTATGTAATGTATGTATGTAATGTAATGTAATGTAATCTGATCTAATCTAATGTAATGTCATGTAATGTAATGTAATGAATGTATGTAATGTATGTATGTAATGAATGTAATGCAATGTTATGTAACGTAACGTAACGTAACGTAATGTAATGTAATGTAATGCAATGAATGTATGTAATGTGTGTCATGTAATGTAATGTAATGTAATGGAATGGAATGCATGTATGTATGTATGTATGTATTGTATGTATTGTATGTATTGTATGTATTGTATGTATTGTATGTATTGTATGTATGGTATGTATGGTATGTATGGTATGTATGGTATGTAAGGTATGGATGGTATGTATGTATGGTATGTATGGTATGTATGGTATGTATGTATGGTATGTATGGTATGTATGGTATGTATGTATGGTATTTATTGTATGTATGGTACGTATGGTATGTAGGGTATGCATGTATGGTATGTATGTATGTATGGTATGTATGGTATGGTATGGTATGGTATGGCATGGCATGGTATGGTATGGTATGGTATGGTATGGTATGTATGGTATGTATGGTATGTATGGTATGTATGGAATGTATGGAATGTATGGAATGTATGGAATGTATGGAATGTATGTGATGTTTGTAATGTATGTAATGTATGTTATGTATGTTATGTATGTAATGAATGTAATGAATGTAATGAATGTGATGAATGTAATGAATGTAATGAATGTAATAAATGTAATGAATGTAACGAATGTAATGAATGTAATGAATGTAATGTATGTCATGCATGTATGTATGTATGTATCTCAAGAGATGTAAAACTTGTACCTGTGAACTTCAATTGGAAGTGGCAACACCTTCGGTGTGATGTCGCCTGCGTTGATTCATCGCAATTTCTTCATGCAAGATTCTCCTTCGGTGCGATTGCGCTTTAGTATTCTCATGGTATTTTCTTCAAGCAGGGGGCAGTGGCCCACTCATGAGTCCACTGCCAACGAAGCTACTCATGAGTTGGGAGGATATCGGGACTGATCATCCCGACGTACCTGCACTTTTGTCGAATCCAATTTTCGTCAGTGGCAACCGGCTAAGCCAAGAACCGGCATGTCGAGTTTTCAAACGGCTTCTCAGACCAAACTCGAACTTTAGGACTTCCAGTCAGTACAGGAGACATGTTCATCAGTAGGAGGTGCGGGCGCTGATTTCCTGAGAGGGGTTGCATTTTGGAGCATCAGATCTTCAGTTTTGGGAAGATGATTATGCGTGACAGGTGCAGCACTTCGTATGACCTGGCCTCGCTTTTTTGTGGCAGGCGCAATACTTTAGACAGGTGGAGTGGAAAAACCGCAAAATGCATTGGTACGAGGCCGTCAGCTCTGCACTCAACTTTCCTCCGGAGCCACCAAAAAAAACACAGGGTCTTGCGACTTGTCGACCTGTTCGCGCCCGGATCTTCTTTCTTCTCTCGCTTTTTCTTCTCTGACTCTTCCCGCCTCTGCTTTTCCATGTGGCCATATTGTCGGAAGTTTGACTTCTAAAATTTGTTGACCATTTTGTTACATTTTGTTACGAGAAACTAAAAACAAACTTGGGAGAGAATGCAAGTTCGTTGCGAGACTTGATTTGGGATACTTACGTATGTGCTCAAATGAATTTTGCAAGCAGAGGAAGTAGATCGGCTGAATTGATGCAGGGGTGGCCGCTGATGAGGGCCTAGGAGCAGTTGCTTTTGAAGAAATTCAGTCTTTTATATGCTCATTTTTGAAAAAAAATGTGTTGCCTTGAATTTTGGTGTATACTGTTGCTGAGGTAGTAGCCGTTTGGCGAGGTGATGTTGCGCTGCCCAACGTTTCTCTCCAGCGCTATATCAAGGGAGGCCGCAAAGAAACCAAATCGTTTGGCTCGAAAAACACAAACATAGCAAATGTGTTGAGGCTGCAGCAGAAAACATATAAAACATGTCTTGAAAGTTGTCGAAATACACTCGAACCAACAGCTGGATTAAAATATCTATAGACCCAGCGCTCTGATCGAGAGATGTGAACGCAGCATTATTATGATATTATTCCTGGTCGGGGATTCAAGGTCTTTAGCAGTTTTGCACATAAACTTCAGTTTGCAGAAGAGCACGGAAGAGTCCAGCATGTTTTTGAAATCTGCAACATTAATTCACAGAACAGGCGCAGAGAACCAATACCGTAGCAGCCGCAGTACTTGCAACATGTCTTGCTACAGATTCCTCGCAGACAACCAGTCCTGCCGCGCAGAAGTCCCTCACAAATCTTACAGTCCCTGTCACCATCCCTGTCTGCTTTTGAAATTGGGGCCGAAACCTGAAAACTTCATCGTTTTTCATCGCTTTTGGAATTTAGGATGCCCTGGGCTCTGAGGTGATGCTGTCTGATGTGATGGCTTCGGGCCCATTGTATGAAGCTGTCTACACCTGGGGATTTTCACTCTCCATGATTTGTGTCACCTACTTAGTACTTACAGCCTTCCGCTGACACATGGGTTGAATTGAGCCCACTATGCCAGTTTGGCTGTTCCTGTGTTGAAAACCAGGTGTGCTTTGTTTTCCGTGAAGCTTCAACATTTTGGCGACAGAAGCTCCCATCGATGGCTCCAGATGTGGACCGCTTCGTTTTCATGCCGCTCGGCCCAAAAAGTGACCGGGCTCAAGCAAGAAGCATAGGTCAGCCGAGAGATTGTCACTTTCTACTTGCGCACGGTTGCAAAGCACGCCAAATAGATCCAAACAGTGTAAGTAAAAATGAACTGATTCGATAGGGGTCTGCAGAGCAATGTGAGCAGGAGCGGCACTGTCACTGTGATGCTTCAGTGGGCAAATGTTCCAAGGCTCTATGCTCTTTGTGCGCCGTGCTTGCTGGGGTTGGTTGCCTTTCAGTACAAACACGATTTGCAGCTCGGAAGCCAACCATTTCAGTCGGAGAAATGAATTGCAGCCGCAGTCTCCAAGAGAGGTTTGTATGCATAGCGCCCGGCAGAACAAGAGCACCGAAGAGTACTGAAGAGTATTGAAGAGTGAAGCAGACCTGATCTCAAAGTTGTAAGTAACAGAAAGAAAGTCTCAGGTCTTTACATCGCGAAGACCTTTGGGCTCTGATCTATGACTTCGACTTTTTGCTGTGGGCTCTTCATGTGTTCCACACTTCAGTCTTCTTCCTGACCTGTTGTGCTATGGCTTACATCTATGGGCTTCGACTCAGTCCAGCTCTTGATGCCTCTGGACTTACGCACCCATCCGACAGATTTTGGCGAAGTTCTGGATCTTGGCGCCGCGCTTGGAGAGACCAAGGAGAGACCAAGGAGAGACCCAGCGACTTAATGCAAACTATAGGACCTAAACTTAAAATATCAAAAAATATCTATCCAATCCTTTATAAATATATTGCACTCACTTCAAGACCATCTTGACATCATAGCCAACATCAAATCAACAGGGCGCTCTGGTCGTGCTTTCGCTATGTAAAGTTTGGTATGTGCGTTTCACAATGTGCCATGGCATTTTTGAACATCAGTTTGCTCAGATTGCCATGCCTCTCAGCGACCCAAAGGTGCATCTTGATGCTTACGCCTGTCGGTGTGGTGGTGCGATTTTTCCATCTCTTCTCGGGACGGCTCTATGGGGTATTCTCCTGGTATTGGTCGAGGCTTTGCAGGGACTTGAAAGGGGCTTTCTGTTTGGGTTGCTCCAAAAGTGTGTGTGTGTACCATCTGAATAGATGTAAAACTTCTGATTATTGCAGGGCCGCTGGGGAACGTTGCAGTCAGCGGCCAATGAAGACGCTGCAATGTTCCTGTGAAAACGTACCTGCATATCTATCTATCTATCTATCTATCTATCTATGTATGTATGTAAGTATGTATGTATGTATGTATGTATAGTCGCGCCCCTGGGCGCATACAAGTCGCAGCGGGGGGGAAATATGTCTTTATTTATCGCTGTTGTTTTTTGATTGTCAACGTCTACTGTGGATTGTATTTTATCTACTTATATAGGTTCATTTCATCGTGTTAGGTTGTTGTTGGAGTCGTTTGCACGTAAGATGTATTCCACAACAAAATTTGCAACGACAGTTCTGAGCAAGTGTGTGTGTGGAGCGTCTGAATAGACGTAAAACTTCTATCCTTTCTGCCCCTGTGACATTGCACGTCGATTTTGTCAATTTAGCTTTTCCGAATTGCAGGGGGTGCCGGAGGCACTGATGAGACCGGCACTAACAAAGACACTCATCAGCTGCCTGTGATATATGGGGAGGCTCATCGACGTACCTGTTTGCGATTTACTGTAATGGCAAGGGCCAAGCCAAGAAGTCCAACAACAACAACAACAGCAACCACAACCACGACCACAACGACAATGACAATGACAATGACAATGACAACGACAATGACAACGACAACGACAGCAGCAACCAACAACCAACAACCAACAACCAACAACCAACAACCAACAACCAACAACCAACAACCAACGACCAACGACCAACGACCAACAACCAACAACCAACAACCAACAACCAACAACCAACAACCAACAACCAACAACAAGGTAACGTCGTCCATTGCGGTCCCGCTGTTTTTGTTTGTTTTGAAAACAAGCATCTTGCTATTTCGATAAACCTTATGGCACTTTCTGTCACCATGGATTTTGCGCCATGTTCAAATGCCTTGCGTTTTACAGCACTTTGTGTCCATTTTGTGCTATTTCCAATGGGTTTTACAAGTCCATGTGCAAATCAGCGAAAAAAAACGCTTGGAAGCCAGCAATATGTTAGGATCGTGTTGCATACATGATAGACCAGACATAGACACATACCTTGCATACTTGGACATGTACACTGATTCTTATATACATATATGCAAGTATATATACATATATTTATATCCATATATATATATGTGTATATATATATATATATGTGTAACCTGACACAAACAGGCATGCACACACTGAGATATGGTTCCGTAAGGAACGCGATGAGATTCGATATGGTGATGAAGATGTATACGCCTTGATGAACCTAAGTGGCCTTACGAGATCGGACGTCACACGTGCTGACAGGGTGAACTTGCCAACATGATACACATTGCAGTTCAAAGGACTCTCAAAACATACCAAGGATGACAGCTTGTCAAAAGTTTCAAACTTCTTTGCAGGTACACAGTTGGACGTCTCCAACTGCTTCCCATGACATCACTAGCTTCGTTGGCCAGCGTCGTGATGCCATGCGCTGGCCCCCTGCTACTGGTTCTTAATTTATCAAAATTCGTATCTCGCAAACTGAAAGCTCGCAGAAATGAATTCTTGCAAAATTAATTACCGCAAACTGAATCTCGCCAAACTGACACACATAAATGAAATCCGGGAGATGCTACTGCCTCCAAGATCGAAGCTCAATACGACATGTGAATGACGACAAATGAATAACTTCGGCTTGAATGGATAGCCGTTTACACACACACACACACATATATATATATACATATTCATCCCACCCCCACCCCACCCCAACCCCAACGGGCAGCGTAACATCATCAGCGTACCATGAACGTTAACATCCCACCCCACCCCACCCCAACCCCAACGGGCAGCGTAACATCATCAGCGTACCATGAACGTGAACATTCCACCCCACCCCAACCCCAACGGGCAGCGTAACATCATCAGCAGCGTACCATGAACGTTAACATCCTACCCCACCCCACCCCAACCCATGTTTATTAAAAACTAGCAAATTCCCCGGGGCCGTATTGGACGACGTCAGCAACAAGAACCACCACAACGACAACGACAATGACAACGACAACGACAACGACAACCACAACCAACAACCAACAACCAACAACCAACAACCAACCGCAACAACAGCAGCAGCAACAACAACAACAACATTTTCCGCTCCTACTCGGTTGCCACAATCTGGTATTCACTGCATTTATTCCATTTCACCGACTTGGCAGAGGGCTAAGCCGAGAACCCTGAACATTGACATGGTCCTTGATGAGTATGTGGTTTTACACGGATTCTACATTATCTATTCTATTCTACTTTCTTGGAACCTCAACATTGTCTTTGTCGAGATGATCAGTTTTCCATCCTGGTTATTCTTCATTATTCCTCTGAGGTCGCTACCAGTCGTTAAGGGTCTTGTTTAACTGCACGTTATGGGATTCAGTTCCCAACGGATCACTACAATGATCCATTTCTTGTCTAGTGTGATTTCCATGGTGGCTCCGGCATGGTGCCATGGACCCACTTGAGCCTGCCTTTCCGTTCACCACCACTTTGCGATTTCCTGCCGTTCCTGCTGTCCTTGTGAACCCGTGGGACCTGCACCTCTACTTGAATGGAGCCACGCCGAACAGCCAGAAACTTCTTTCTTCTCTGCTCAAGCGTGCGATGTTACATGCAACATGACAAACGACCAGGCAGATACATGCCCTCCAGGTGTGGTGATTCTTCTCTTTTGTTCGTTTTCTGGTGAGGTCAAACATATTGTGCGCCTAATTCAGCTGAACTTGAACAGCCGTTTAATGCCCACGTGGCTTGATCGGCATCGGTCCCGATTGAAAAAACACAACACACAAACTTTTAAATTAGAACTGAGTCCCATCGTACTGTGGAACTATAGCTTTTTGACTGCGCTTGTCGTCCGCTCATCTCCAACCATGTGGTCCTGGCCCAATACCACTCCACCCTGGACAGCATCTACGACCTCGAGCTCTACGGCGCCATCGCATACAGCACCCCTTGGAACCCAGCGCATCTTCTACCACAGCACAGCCAACCTGTCACCAGTCCACTACCACCTTCCACGACTATGCCACCAACACCGACGACTACCATTTCGCACTGTCCCCCAGAGCATACTTTTGGACAACCTTCCGACCTATCTCTCCACTGGACGAACCGACAACCTACGCCAACGCCAACCTTTTCTCCACAGGAACGGGCCAACCGCATCCTGTACCTGTACTACCACATCCACTGACACCACAGCCTTTGCAGCCTTCTCCGGACTTATGGAATCAAGCCCCACTCAATCCACTGGCTTTGACTCCTACACCTTCATACATAACATCACACCAAGCATTACCTACCGGACCTATCCAATATGTTCATCCTGGTGTATGTGCAGGCATTCCTCACCACGCTCCACATTCGGCTCCACAACAGACACAACCTCCTTCACCAAAACCTGCGGCAAGAAAAAGCTGCTCCAGAAAAACAACCACCACTGCGACGAGCACTACTTCGAACGACCGCACCTGATTTCTGGAAAACCGCATGCAACGCCAAGTCAACTCCCGCATGGATCAGGTTGAGACCAGAGTCCAAGAGATGCTGAACACCATCACGAAGTCACTCCGAGCACCCACACCACCAGCTCCACTTGCTCTACCGGCCCAACCACTCAGCCACCTCCAACCGCTCCTGGCAACCTTGAACGTCTCGCCGACGATCCAAAACCCGTTCAAGATCATCGCCGACCTCGCCAACACCAACCATTCCGACAACCTCTACCTCGGCAATGTTCCACGCCTCACCATCCCAAAGACCGTCGCACTCCATCCCCTCATCGTCGCCGATCACCTCCTCGTGAACCTTCCCGGTGCCACCGTGTCAGCCCTGACCGTACACCTCTCAAGATTCGCTGCCATTCTCGCCATCGTCAACCGATTACACTTCGACCTCGACAACCCGATCCATATGACTCCGGCCTATCACACAACTCCTCCGCGCAGGCAGCCAACAATGATGATGTCTGGGGCACCTGGCAAGCTCGGTCCAAAGGCCCCCCCGCGCCACCACCTCTCTTGGATCATGTCACAGAACGTATTGCTGGAGGCTCGACCGACGAAAGAGGCCATGAAGAGGACCAACCTATTGCCATTGGGGACTTTGAGAAATTACCAGCTGGCTCACCGACTACATGGACGCCCACAGAGATCCCGACCATGTCAAATGTGCCAGCAAGCTTCCACATGGCTACAAAACTCCTCTCAAATTCTCCATGACACATGCCGAGAACCGCAGGTACAAAGAATTTGTAGATGCAATGTTCCATCAACTCTCACTTCCATACACCACATCCACCAAAGCCACTGTGTACATCAAAGCGGACCGAGAAATGGTGACCAACATCGCAAAATGCTTCGCCAAAGCTGATCGTTTGGATGTGGAGTTGGCGAAACGCACGAAAGGTTACTTTATCGAGGCTCTTAACCTTCTCGCCATCACAATACCTACTAGCTTGCCGGAGAAACCGGCCTTCCGCAACGTGGAACATGCGCTATCTATCATCGCACAGATTGGGGGGTTGTGGCAAAAATCTTGGTCGAAGATGCTATCAGACCCGCTGGATGGAGTCGAAACGGCGAAAACATCCCAAATCAGTACCCTTGATTTGGCTTCTTTGGATTCTCTTCGGAAATCATCAGAACTGACCGACTGGGCAGTCACAAACTGCACTGCTGGACTTCATCGGATTGGCAAGGGCCAGCTTCCAGCCGGCTTGATCACCACCTGTCGCTCTCCGAAGATTACCAAGCACATGGCAGGAGGCAATGATCAGCTGCAAAGAATCTGCCGCTTGGGAGGCATAGCAAAAGGAAAGGACGGCGCTACTGCCACCAACTCCTCCTGCGCCAATGTGGCTTTTGTTGCTGGAACTCATCAGATTGCCACCTCCATGATCACCTATGCCAAGCAACCCACGTCGAGCCGCTCAGATGATGCCCATCGTAAGCGACCCTGATGTCCTTGCTGGTCGACCCGTACAATATTGCACTGAGGTAAACCCTCTTTCGCACCTGTTTTGGAGTAACAATGCTTCTCCCGCTTGGTGACGCTACCGCTTCGAGCATCTTCCGCTAAAACA